AGATGTGTCTAGTAGTTCCCATTGATATGATTTGGAAAGCGGGGAGAATGGCGCTAGGCTAACCGCACCGTGACGTCACTGCTGGAAGATGGCAGGAGGGAGGGGCTACTATATTTGGGCAAAAATGGCCGCTCCCAGACTCAGTGATCACGATAAAAATTCATTAAATCACCGCAAAGAATTAGTTTTAGGTATAAATAACGATCCACTGATTATTCCTGCTGAACTTTTCCTTTAATAAACTTTTATATTTTGAACAGAAGTCGTAGCGATTTTATTCCATTTATCTGCAGATTTATCTGTTTGACGATAATTTGAGCTCCTTTCATATTTTCATTTGCTATTCTAACACAGAGCAAGTATAAGACAGTGAATAATATCTGATTAGGAAATGTCCCCCCCCCCCCACCAGGGTGGGAAAAAAATTTATAAAGTATCAAAACACTATAAAGATGCAGAACTGAACAGACTAGATGTGGGTCCTCCCTAAGAGCTAATAATGGACCCCTGGACCATCTTTTAGCTCAGAACTACATCTCCCAGCATGCATTGCAGCACAGGGCTGGTTCTGTGAGAGAAAGCTCATGGGACCGATCAGAACGAAGCACTTATCAGCACCTTGTTCTCCTGCTGATAAGATGAATGCAGCTCAGCTGCTGGGTCAGAGCGGCCGATCAGAACCTGCAGCCACAGAACGGATCGGAACCAGTTGATTGGTTCTGATTCTGATCAGAACCGATACCAATCAATGACACAGACAAAAACAAAGCATTTCTTCCTACTGATGGAGCTGCTGCTGCTTCATGGTTCTCCTCCTTGGTTCTCCTGCTGCTTGGAGGTCCCCAGTTGTGCCTCCTCTTCTTCTCCTCCTTCTCTCCACTAGGTTCTCTGTCAGCTCCTTCTTGTGTTGGTGTTTCTGCAGCGATGCTCCGGCTCTAAGATCTCCTCCTCCTCCTCAGTTTCCTCCCACTGATGCTCAGCTGGGAACAACGCGCTCCTCTCCTCTCCTCTCCTCTCCTCTCCTCTCCTCCTCTCTGCCTGCCTCACACATGCATGCTGAAAATAAAACCCTCAGCTCTCCTCCTCCACTCCCCCCTCTGCAGCATCATTTTTCATAGTTAGAGCCCCCCACCCCCCCCTGTTGACTACTCACAGAGAAAAGCTGCTGAATGAGGTGTGGCCAGCAGGGGGTGCTGTCGGCTCTCTCCTGCATGCTTTATTATTGCCTCCATCAGCAGGATTTTACTGCAGAGGATCAACTTTATTTTCACAGTTTATAGGAAAAAAAAGCATTTTGTTGCATAAAGCTCAACAGTAAAATGAACATTAGAGTTTATAGAGTTCAGCAGAGATCAGAATGAGAACAATGCAGAAAATGAAAACCAGTTTAAAATCATGGTGCAAAATGCTGTAGAACATTGAGTTGTTCCCTGTTTAAAGTCGCAGGGAAATCATATTAAAATGCTCTCTTTATCAGACAATATTGTCCCGAAATTATAAAAAATTCTGTTTTTAAAATAATTATCTTATCCAGGCCAGTTAGTTCTACGTCAGCCTGAACACCTAAATTCGGCCAATCATATATCAACGGTCATCTGTCAATCAAATGTTTTCGGTCATAGCATCTTGATTCATGTGTCGCAGCTAATATACGCAACGGTTGAAATCAGAATCCTTTCCTTTCCCATTGATTTGCGTCCCAGTGTTCACGGGGATGGATGTCTGTGTCTTCAGCAGGCTTCGAGCTAACAGAACTGGCAGCGTTGCGAGGCAAGGGCTCAAACAT